TTTATGTTCAGCAGACTTTGTTCTTCTATTGTTGTAACTTAGATGACGTTCAGAGCACATTTTATGCCCAATTCATGCAAAACTCCACGTAATCCCAAGGGGTTCAATACTTTTTAAAATTGCAACTGTATATATATATATATATATAAAATTTTTTTATTGTATAAATTTTTATATATTTATTATTATAAGGGTGTAAAATTTTAATTTGTTAAAAAATGTTATTTGTAAATGGAAAATGAAAAAAAAGGTATAGAATATTTGTTGATAATTTACAAACGTTCTGCAAAATTAAAAAAAAAAAAAATGAATAAAAAGACTTTCCCTTTAAAAACCGCATGTCACCACAGGGTCATCTTTGCTCATAGCACCTCCTGTAATCTACTTACGTTTCCGGAGGCTCATGTATTAAAAACTAAAAAAAAAAAGTTGGGTAAACTCGTGTGCTGCTATATGTGCCAAAAATATGGAAACCGTGTAAGCAATAAATATATAAGAGACTGCTGCAACCAAAATAAAAAATGTTGGCCCACCCTCAAATATCTGAAACCTAACATATGTGCAATGATGCGAAATCCTTTTGAAGATTACACCCTATGACACAAAGTGAACAAATACTGCAATCTCCAAATGTTCCATATGGACCCAACATAACAACTGAAAGTGCAATTTGTTCATTTTAGGTGTATAAATGTGGCCTAACACAATGCAATCTGATTGTACAATCTCTGTACAATTTCCTTTAGGTTTTCCAGAAATATGGAATAGGAGGACCCACCCATCTACCCAATCACTCTGTATCCAATCAGGCAGATCCTTGTACTACATAGTTGATGGCAGATCTAAAAAAGATTGTACCCAGAACACAATTCTCCTGTTTTCAATACTACGGCTCTATCCACTTCGTCTGTCATCTGTTCACTCAGAATATAATGCCAAAGGGATGATCTATGCAAGATGAAAGTTAAGGTAGAAAAATAAAAATTGATGCCTGTGTATTTAGTGAGAACAGTGATCGCGGATTGATTGCTTTTCATTTAATATTCATGCACCTGGAAGAGGGTGGGAGGTAGGAGGGTAGATGATGCAGGAGGTGTGCGAATGAGGTCAGCTGGTCAACTCCTTCCTATGTCATGACCTGAAGGCTTTGCAGGAAGTAAGGCAGAAGTAATGGAGACACTTTTTGGACAGCCATCTAGCCACTGACATGAAGATGAGTAGAAAAAAATGGAAAGCTTTTGCATTTCTACAAAATAAGTACATAATGCTATACTGGAACATAGGGGAGCTGGAATTAAAAAAAAAAGTGATCAAAGGTGAACTTATCCTTTAACCACTTGCCCTCCTGAGGATTTACCCCCCTTAATGACCACGCCTCTTTTTGCTACTCGGCGCTGCACTAATTCAACTGATAATTGCGCGGTCATGCAATGCTGCACCCAAACGAAATTTACGTCCTTTTTTTCACACAAATAGAGCTTTCTTTCGGTGGTATTTGATCACCTGTCCGCTTTTTATTTTTCACGCTATAAACAAATAAAGGCCAAAAATTTTGAAGAAAAACAATATTTTTTACTTTCAGCTATAAAAAATATATAGTAAACTCAAAGTTGGTTATAAATTTAGGCCAAAATGTATTCTGCTACATGTTTTTGGTAAAAAAAAATCCCAATAAGTGTATATTGATTGCTTTGTGTGAAAGTTATAGCGTCTACAAACTATGGTATAGATACTGCAATTTACGCCATTTTTCTGCTATACAGCGCTGTGCTAGTTTAACGGACAATTGCGCGGTCATGCAATACGGTACATAAATGAAATTCACATCTTTTTTTTCCCCACAAATTGAGCTTTCTTTTGGTGGTATTTGATTGCCTGTGCGGTTTTAATTTTTTGCGCTATAAAAAAAAAGCCTGACAATTTTGAGGAATAAAAAACAATATTTTGGACTTTTTGCTATAAAACATGTCCAGTAAAAAAAAAAAATGCAAAAATCAAATTTAGTCATAAATTTCTGCCAAAATGCATTCTGCGACATGTCTTTGCTAAAAAAGAAAAACCCAACACGTGTAAATTAATTGGTTTACGTGAAAGTTATAGCGTTTACAAATGGCGGGAAAGATACTGGGATTTTTAGTTTTTTTTTTATACTAATAATGGCGGTGATCAGCGACTTATGGCGGCGATCAGTGACTTATGGGGGCGATCAGCGACTGCGGGACTGCGGCGGACATTCTGACATTGGGGGGTACTGACTTCCTTGGGGTATCTTCCTCGGGGTATACCCCGAGGAAGTCACGAGCAGACAGTGACGTAACGCGTAGGTTCGCGAGTCCGCAGTTTCCGGTGAGTGGTGACGCACTTCCGGCGTGCGACGCCATCTTGCTACACCTAGGAAGTCCCATTCACATGCAGTGTAACCCACACATCGGTGAGGAGGGAGGATTGCCAGGAAATGTGAGTGTGACTACTCAATACTTTTAATAAAGGAGTCATTTAATACTGCACTTAGAGGGTGTTTTCTTTCTTGGCTCACTGGATTGGTGAGCCACTGTTCTTCAGAGACACCTTGGCTGAGTAGGGGAAATAGGAGCCCCACAAAGAGATCCAATGAAGGAGGGAAGCTGCTGGCCTATTTGAATTAAGGATCCAGGGTGATCCTGCAAGCCTGCTGGCCCCTAGGGGTCACTGGGAGGAGGTGAGGAGGAAATTTAGCCACCATTAGGAGAAGATTTCGGCACAAATCACCAATTGGCTATTAATCACCACACATTGCATGATTATATTTATCACCAGATGGACATTGTTTTCAACTGATTTTTTGAAAGAGTGGACAAACGTTTTTTGCACTATTTTGGCACTATAGCACTTTTTATCTTTATATAGGTTGCATTACAACCTGGTCACTATTTTTCCATGTATATAAGCACAATATTTTATCATTTATTCATAATTTTCTTTAGACACTTGATTGATTTAGAGTGTGATCACTTAAGTCTTACATGATACACAGTTATTTATTATTATATATATAATTTTATTTTATGATATTTTGGATTATTTTATAGATTGCATTATATGAATTGGTCACCTATTTATAGTCAATATTTATTTATTTTGAGCGCTACACTATTTATTTATGGGATTCCTGATCATGCAATCACTTTATCAACTATGATGTAGGGATCACATAGAAGCTGAAGGTTCATACATTGAAAATGAGCTCTCAGTCTACAGATCTTACTGCACAAAATGTAACAAAGAATGAAAGTACCTTTGTATAAAATCATTATACATACACAGCACATAAGAGGGTATTTTCTTTTTTTTTGGTACATAATATTGAGGGCGGGACACTTAGTAGTTGAGGGATCAAAGTAAGTGGAAATTATTGGATGGAAAGTATGGAGTTGTCACAGATACAAATAGCGTTCAAAGGATATATTGCATTTAGAAAGTCGAATAACTAATTCTAAATTTCTCATTTAGAAAGCGTATTTAAATAATAGAAAAATCATTTAATTATTTGTAGTATAGGCATAGCTCGGTTTATCAATTCAATGCGTTCTCCAGAACATTTCGTATTGCGAAAAATTTGTAAACCGAAATGCGGTTTCCTATAGCAATACATTGAAAACCAATGAATGCGTTCTGGAGGTAAGAAAAAAGTAAAATAAAAGTATTTTATCTGTTTAAAACTCTTTATAAAGTGCACTTTAAAGACATAAATACTGTACAGGGACATGATTAAAAATTAATTTGTAAATGCATTGAAAACCAGTTAAGTCGTTGCAGAGGTCAGAAAAAAGGTAAAAAAACAGTCTTCGCTGTTAAAATTTTTTTATAAAGTGCACTTTAAAGGCATAAATACTGTACAGGAACATGATTAAATATTTCCAGAATGGCTCCCAAACTCGATGCAAAAACCACTCTGACACCTCCACACTCGACGCCACGTGCTACCCACAGACTCCAGCATGCACGGGGCCGGCGCTATAAACTTCCCAGGCGTAATTCATCCTGGAGAAACTTGCTTCGTATTGCAAAAAAAATTTGTAAATGCATTGAAAACCAATGAATCCGTTCTGGAGGTCAGAAAAAAGTAAAAAGAAAAAAAGTCTTATCTGTTCAAAACTCTTTATAAAGTGCACTTTAAAGGCACGGGGCCGGCGCTATAAACCTCCCAGGCGCAATGCATCCTGGGGAAACTTGCTTCGTATTGCGAAAAAAATTTGTAAATGCATTGAAAACCAATTATTCCGTTCCGGAGGTCAGAAAAAAGTAAAAAAATTCTTACCCGTTCAAAACTCTTTATAAAGTGTACTTTAAAGGCACGGGGCCGGCGCTATAAACCTCCCAGGCGCAATGCATACTGGGGAAACTTGCTTTGTATTGCGAAAAAAATCCATACACCAAGGCATTATTTTCAATGGATTTTCATTCGTAAACCAAAAATTACGTTACCCGAGGCATTCGTAAACCGAGGTACGCCTGTATATAATTTAATTCAAGACGTTTGGGGGGATATGGTTTCAAGAGGGAGAATGGAGTCTGTGTCTGCTGGTAAACATATATTGTAGGCTATTAAATATTAAAATAACTGGAGTTAAAAGTTTGTTTAATGTGAATTGTGTGAATGTTTTTTTTGAAAATGGAAAAGAAAAAGAAAAGTTTAATAAAGATGATCTGATTGAATAATACATATGCGGGAACTGCTTCCTGTATACGTAAGGTCCTGGATCAACAGGCTTTTTTGTTCGCTTTAAATTGGTTTTGTATTCCCATTCGAGTCTATGGGAATACAAAACCTGCCTGAAGTTTGCCAAATGCAGGTCAGAAAGGAATAACTGCAACTGTAAGATTGTGATTAGAGATGAGCGAAGTATTCAAAAATTCGATTCGGCTGATTCGGCGAATTCGAGGAATAAATTCGATTTGATGCGAATATATTCGCTGCGAATTTAACTTATAAAAGGGTGTTTCTAGGCTTCAGAGAGCCTTCATATTAGTGCAGAACACTGTACCTTTAATTTAAATGCCCTTGGAGTCTGCTGGGGAAGAGAAATAATACTGTCAGTCAGTATGCCTTGCAGATGAGTGCCGTCGATCTTAGAATCACCGCACACTTCACTCATTTGGGCAGTCACGGGGCCAAAACCAGAGTGTGGAGCCACAGTGTGGCGATGGAGGCAGCAGCAATGGGAGGCCATACAGCACCCTATGACAAAATGGAACCCACCAGCAGTGTGAGGAGACCTGAAAGTGACACATGGCAGAGTGTGGCGATGGAGACAGCAGCAATGGGAGGCCGTACAAGGACCCATGACACACTCTGGACCTGGCAGCAGCATTAGGAGGCGGTACAGGGGCCCATGGCAGATTACGGGCCTGGCAGCAGCAATGGGAGGCCCGTAATCTGCCAGCACCCTATGACAAAATGGAACACACCAGCAGTGTGAGGAGACCTGAAAGTGGCACATGGCAGAGTGTGGCGATGGAGACAGCAGCAATGGGAGGCCGTACAGGGACCCATGACACACTCTGGACCTGGCAGCAGCATGAGGAGGCGGTACGGGGGCCCATGGCAGATTACGGGCCTGGAAGCAGCAATGGGAGGCCCGTAATCTGCCAGCACCCTATGACAAAAAATGGAACACACCAGCAGTGTGAGGAGACCTGAAAGTGGCACATGTTTGGGGCATGATTCATGGCGGATTTAGTCAGTTGTGTCAGGAACTGGTGGTTTGAAATCGAGACTAATCCACGCCTGATTCATTTTCACAAACGTGAGTCTCTCCACACTTTGGGTGGACAGTCGTGTCCTCCGCGGAGTTACAATACCTCCTGCCGCAGCAATGACGGAGGCTAAACACGCGCGCCCGATGCCACGCTACTGGCCGGGCATGACAGCCTTTCAAGGGCAAATTCAGCTAGTTGGGGCCAAAGGTCAAGTTTCGTTGCCCAGTAGTCAAGGGGATTGTCTACCTCGGTTGGCAGGGTGCTGTCCAAGTAGGCCCAAGCCTGTTGTTTGAGGTCCTGCTCCAGGTCCACCTGATGCTGCTGCTGCTGCGGCTGGTTAGTAGTTTCCTCACTGCGCTGGTGAAGAAGAATGCTACTCATCATCGACTGCAGACTGAGGCAGCCGCTGCTGGTGGAGCTGCCACTGCTCCTACCACCCCACCCCTCCCCTGCTGCCATGGCAGCGGAACACGAGCGCACAGGGCCCACAGTGTCTGAGGATGGACGTTGGCGCAGAAAGGCAGAGACCAACTGACTACATAGGTGGTTTTTATAGTACGTTATTTTGGCCTCCCTCTCAGCAGGTGTGAAAAAGGCCACACCATTTTTGAACGGTAGCGAGGGTCCAACAAGGTGGACAGCCAAAAGTCATCCCTCTGTCTGATGGTTATTATTCGGCTGTCGCTACGCAAGCAACCGAGCATGCTATGGGCCATTTGTGCCAAGGAATGCGAGGGACTCCCTGCCTCCATCTCCACAGCATACTGCCACGGTGCGTCTGGGTCCTCTGTCCTCCTCCTCCTCTACCAGATGCTCCTGCTCCTCCACTCCTGTCCGCTGAGTGGAAAAACCACCCATTTCACTCAATAATTCCTGAGCACCAATGTCCTCCTCTACCTCCTCCTCTTCTTCCTGTCCTGCCCCCACAGGGGTCATGTGGCGTTGAGATCTGTGCGCCACGTCTACCGCACCCTGACCAGCCATTGTTAACAGCATTTGTTCCAGGACGTGCAACAGAGGAATGACGTCGTTCATCCCATAGTCCTGCCGACTCACGAATAGCGTGGCCTCCTCAAAGGGCCTGAGCAAGCGGCAGGTGTCACGCATGAGCTGCCAATGGCTGACATCTAAGTTACACAGGGGAGTACCTTTATCCACTGTAACATCAGGAATCTGTGATGGCCTTTCGCTGTTCGTAAAGGCGGTCTAACATATGTAGGGTTGAATTCCACCTTGTTGCAACGTCACAGCATGAGGAGTCGGTACGGGGGCCCATGGCAGATTACGGGCCTGGCAGCAGCAATGGGAGGCCCGTAATCTGCCAGCACCCTATGACAAAAAATGGAACACACCAGCAGTGTGAGGAGACCTGAAAGTGGCACATGGCAGAGTGTGGCGATGGAGACAGCAGCAATGGGAGGCCGTACAGGGACCCATGAGAGACTGTGGACCTGGCAGCAGCATGAGGAGGCGGTACGGGGGCCCATGGCAGATTACGGGGGCCTGGCAGCAGCAATGGGAGGCCCGTAATCTGCCAGCACCCTATGACAAAATGGAACACACCAGCAGTGTGGGAGACCTGAAAGTGGCACATGGCAGAGTGTGGCGATGGAGACAGCAGCAATGGGAGGCCGTACAGGGACCCATGAGAGACTCTGGACCTGGCAGCAGCATGAGGAGGCGGTACGGGGGCCCATGGCAGATTACGGGCCTGGCAGCAGCAATGGGAGGCCCGTAATCTGCCAGCACCCTATGACAAAAAATGGAACACACCAGCAGTGTGAGGAGACCTGAAAGTGGCACATGGCAGAGTGTGGCGATGGAGACAGCAGCAATGGGAGGCCGTACAGGGACCCATGAGACACTCTGGACCTGGCAGCAGCATGAGGAGGCGGTACTGGGGCCCATGGCAGATTACGGGCCTGGCAGCAGCAATGGGAGGCCCGTAATCTGCCAGCACCCTATGACAAAAAATGGAACCACACCAGCAGTGTGAGGAGACCTGAAAGTGGCACATGGCAGAGTGTGGCGATGGAGACAGCAGCAATGGGAGGCCGTACAGGGACCCATGAGACACTCTGGACCTGGCAGCAGCATGAGGAGGCGGTACAGGGGCCCATGGCAGATTACGGGCCTGGCAGCAGCAATGGGAGGCCCGTAATCTGCCAGCACCCTATGACAAAAAATGGAACACACCAGCAGTGTGAGGAGACCTGAAAGTGGCACATGGCAGAGTGTGGCGATGGAGACAGCAGCAATGGGAGGCCGTACAGGGACCCATGAGAGACTCTGGACCTGGCAGCAGCATGAGGAGGCGGTACGGGGGCCCATGGCAGATTACGGGCCTGGCAGCAGCAATGGGAGGCCCGTAATCTGCCAGCAGCCCTATGACAAAAAATGGAACACACCAGCAGTGTGAGGAGACCTGAAAGTGGCACATGTTTGGGGCATGATTCATGGCGGATTTAGTCAGTTGTGTCAGGAACTGGTGGTTTGAAATCCAGACTAATCCACGCCTGATTCATTTTCACAAACGTGAGTCTCTCCACACTTGGGTGGACAGTCGTGTCCTCCGCGGAGTTACAATACCTCCTGCCGCACTAAACACACGCGCTCCGATGCCACGCTACTGGCCGGGCATGACAGCCTTTCAAGGGCAAATTCAGCTAGTTGGGGCCAAAGGTCAAGTTTCGTTGCCCAGTAGTCAAGGGGATTGTCTACCTCGGTTGGCAGGGTGCTGTCCAAGTAGGCCCAAGCCTGTTGTTTGAGGTCCTGCTCCAGGTCCACCTGATGCTGCTGCTGCTGCTGGCTGGTTAGTTAGTAGTTTCCTCACTGCGCTGGTGAAGAAAGCTACTCATCATCGACTGCAGACTGAGGCAGCCGCTGCTGGTGGAGCTGCCACTGCTCCTACCACCCCACCCTCCCCTGCTGCCATGGCAGCGGAACGCGAGCGCACAGGGCCCACAGTGTCTGAGGATGGACGTTGGCGCAGAAAGGCAGAGACCAACTGACTACATAGGTGGTTTTTATAGTACGTTATTTTGGCCTCCCTCTCAGCAGGTGTGAAAAAGGCCACCATTTTTGAACGGTAGCGAGGGTCCAACAAGGTGGACAGCCAAAAGTCATCCCTCTGTCTGATGGTTATTATTCGGCTGTCGCTACGCAAGCAACCGAGCATGCTATGGGCCATTTGTGCCAAGGAATGCGAGGGACTCCCTGCCTCCATCTCCACAGCATACTGCCACGGTGCGTCTGGGTCCTCTGTCTCCTCCTCCTCCTCTACCACCATGCTCCTGCTCCTCCACTCCTGTCCGCTGAGTGGAAAAACCACCCATTTCACTCAATAATTCCTGAGCACAAATGTCCTCCTCTACCTCCTCCTCTTCTTCCTGTCCTGCCCCCACAGGGGTCATGTGGCGTTGAGATCTGTGCGCGCCGTCGTCTACCGCACCCTGACCAGCCATTGTTAACAGCATTTGTTCCAGGACGTGCAACAGAGGAATGACGTCGTTCATCCCATAGTCCTGCCGACTCACGAATAGCGTGGCCTCCTCAAAGGGCCTGAGCAAGCGGCAGGTGTCACGCATGAGCTGCCAATGGCTGACATCGAAGTTACACAGGGGAGTACCTTTATCCGCTTGTAACATCAGGAAATCGGTGATGGCCTTTCGCTGTTCGTAAAGGCGGTCTAACATGTGTAGGGTTGAATTCCACCTTGTTGCAACGTCGCAGATCAGGCGATGCTGTGGAATTCCGTTCTGCCGCTGCAGCTCAAGGAGGGTGTGCTTTGCGGTGTAGGAATGGCTGAAATGCATGCAAAGTTTACGTGACATTTTAAGGATGTCTTGCAGTGGGATGGTGGATTTTAGGAACCGCTTGACAACCAGATTGAACACGTGAGCCATGCATGGCGCATGGCACACACCTTCCTTGACGCAGAGCAGACACCATGTTCTTTCCGTTGTCGGTCAACATGGTTCCGATTTTCAGTTTGCGCGGAGACAGCCATCTGTCGATTCTCTGTTCATTACACAGAAGTTCCTCCCCTGTGTGACTACGTTCGCCAAGGCATACCAGGTGCAGCACAGCGTGACACCGTTGCGCCCTGCACATGTGATATGCCGGTCGGTCGGGTAATGGGACTTGGCACGGGGGGTGGCGGCTGAGGACACGGCGGAAGAAGAGGTGGTAGAGGCGGACATCTTTTGTGGACCAAGGACGTGCAAACGTGGAGGCAAAAGCGGCGTGACCTGTCCAAGTTGCTGGTGCGGCTGTGCCGGCACCACGTTCACCCAGTGGGCCGTAAATGACATGTACTGTCCCTGACCGTAGTTACAGCTCCACACGTCGGCGCTGCCGTGCACTTTGGCAGAGACCGACATGCTCAAAGACTGGCCCCCATCTCTTCTACATGTGAATGCAGGGCTGGCACTGCCTTTTTGGCGAAGAAATGACGGCTTGGCACTCTCCACCGCGGCGGCGGCACAAGCCATCATTTCTCGGAAAGGTGCTGAGTCCACCACTTGGAAAGGGAGGGACTGCAGCACACCAGCAACTTGGACAGGAGGACGTTCAGCTTTTGCACCGTCGGGTGCGTGCTCGCAAACTGTTGTCTCTTGGAAACGGATTCCAAGAAAGACTGCTGACGGAATCCGTGAAGAGGAGTAGCAGGAGAAGGAGCATCTGAACGAGCGGAAGATGCCAACGAGCGACAACTCCCCTCAGCAGAGGTGTTGGAGCCTTGACTGGCTGATAGAGGGCGATTGACGTCGGGTGACGGAGCAAGTAACGGAGCGGGTGTGATGGAGCGGGGGCTGGGGGGGCAGGCAGAACCGCCGTATCTTTATCACGGTTTTCCCAGGCCACCAAATGGCGACGCTGCATATGCTGACCGCAACGCTGTAGTCCCAACATGGGCCCCCTGGCCACGCTTGACTTTTCTGGCCACATAGTCGACATACGGCTACGTTTACTTCCTCGGGCGGCTTGACGAAAATTGCCACACCGCCGAGTAGGAAACTTTGCCCCCGATACTCCTCACTGGCTGACTGCTACTTCCTCCGTGCACACCGGCACCACTACTGGCCGTGGTGGTAGGCTGCAGTGGAGCTGGTGCTCTACTCCGTGGCCGTTTGCCTCCACTGACACTGCTGCGACCCTGCTGCCTCCTGGGCAACCCACCGACTGTTTTGCTCGCTGCCAAGCTGCCACCCTCTTCTCCTGATGATGCGGAAGCAATAGCCTGATGACGACGAGGCTGCCAAGTGCGATCAGCCTCATCATCATCAATTAGGGTCTCCGCCTCACTACTAGCCCCCTCGGCTGCGTGTGGGTCAGGAGACAGACCTGTCTCTAGACCGGCTACCGAGCCACTCTCCTCGCCACTACTTCTTCGCCTGGCTGCTGAAGAGGCGGATGTCTCCCCCCGTTCCTGACCGCCCTCTGTTAGCTCTTCCTCACTGTACAGTGGGGCTGAGCCCACAGCATGCGATACTTCGCTTGGTGAGGGAACACCAAAGGACAGGGGCAGGTAGAGGACACGTGATTTCAGTGGGCTTGCTCCCGGGCCATGCCAACTAACGGTTGTGTCTGACGTACCCACCGACCGTTGGCTGTAGGTGTCAGAGGTGACCTGGGAAGAGGAGGAAGACGACCGAGCCAACCAATCGATGACGGCAGGGTTGTCGGTGGAGACACGACCGCTGGATGACACCGGGAGCACTGGCCTCTGGCTGCGACTAGTGCTGCCTCGACCCCTTCCTCTGCTGCCACGTCTGCTCGCTCCTAAAACATTGCCTCCTCTGCCACTCTCCTCTGCATGTTGTCTGACATACTCTTTAATTCAACGATTCTGTGTCCCTGAGTAACAATTCTGTGTCCCTGAGTAACAATTCTGTGTCTGTCCCTGAGTAACAATTCTGTGTCCCTGAGTAACAATTCTGTGTCCCTGAGTAACAATTCTGTGTCCCTCAGTAACAATTCTGTGTCCCTCACAATAACAATTCTGTGTCTGTCCCTGAGTAACAATTCTGTGTCCTCCCTGAGTAACAATTCTGTGTCCTGTGTCCCTCAGTAACAATTCTGTGTCCCTCAGTAACAATTCTGTGTCCCTCCCTGAGTAACAATTCTGTGTCCCTGAGTAACAATTCTGTGTCCCTGAGTAACAATTCTGTGTCCCTCAGTAACAATTCTGTGTCCCTCAGTAACAATTCTGTGTCCCTGAGTAACAATTCTGTGTCCCTCAGTAACAATGAGTAACAATTCTGTGTCCCTCAGTAACAATTCTGTGTCCCTCAGTAACAATTCTGTGTCCCTCAGTAACAATTCTGTGTCCCTGAGTAACAATTCTGTGTCCCTGAGTAACAATTCTGTGTCTGTCCCTGAGTAACAATTCTGTGTCCCCCTGAGTAACAATTCTGTGTCCCTCAGTAACAATTCTGTGTCCCTCAGTAACAATTCTGTGTCTGTCCCTGAGTAACAATTCTGTGTCCCTGAGTAACAATTCTGTGTCCCCTCAGTAACAATTCTGTGTGTCCCTCAGTAACAATTCTGTGTCTGTCCCTGAGTAACAATTCTGTGTCCCTCAGTAACAATTCTGTGTCCCTCAGTAACAATTCTGTGTAACAATTCTGTGTCCCTGAGTAACAATTCTGTGTCCCTGAGTAACAATTCTGTGTCCCTCAGTAACAATTCTGTGTCCCTGAGTAACAATTCTGTGTCTGTCCCTGAGTAACAATTCTGTGTCCCTGAGTAACAATTCTGTGTCCCTCAGTAACAATTCTGTGTCCCTCAGTAACAATTCTGTGTCCCTCAGTAACAATTCTGTGTCCCTGAGTAACAATTCTGTGTCCCTGAGTAACAATTCTGTGTCCCTGAGTAACAATTCTGTGTCCCTCAGTAACAATTCTGTGTCCCTCAGTAACAATTCTGTGTCCCTGAGTAACAATTCTGTGTCCCCTGAGTAACAATTCTGTGTCTGTCCCTGAGTAACAATTCTGTGTCTGTCCCTGAGTAACAATTCTGTGTCCCTCAGTAACAATTCTGTGTGTCCCTCAGTAACAATTCTGTGTCCCTCTGAGTAACAATTCTGTGTCTGTCCCTGTAAGTAAACAATTCTGTG